ACCCTGTTCCTAACCCATGAGGCTTCCTTTACATACTACCCCACAAAATGCACTTACCCCTTTGCTTGTGCATAATGTTATTACTTTATGTTCTTGTTCAATGTTTGTTCAGTTGTCTCAATATCCTTTATGTCTGTCCATGTCAGCATCATCTTAGACTGAAAAGTCCCAAGGGGCAGGGGCCATGTCTGTTTTGTACAGTGCCTAGGATAGAACCATGTACAGATAGGTGCTTAAAAAATGCTTCTGGATGATGATTGGCATGACTCTCAAGGACCCTCTAGGCCACAGCTATCTTAGCACATGGTACTTGGCTGGATGTCAGGGCACTTTGGTCTGTTCCTCAGGGCAATGGGTATAATAGTACAAGACTTAGCTTCCGCACTCTACTATGGTGAGTATTTGACTCAATCTGCTTATTAAAATGGAGGCTTTTTTTTTTTTCAAATGGAATAATTATGCAGCCCCAAGACAAAAATGGATTTTATTGGAGACAACAAACAACTCAACTAAGAGTTAAAAATATATGGGAAGCCAGGCGCTGGTAGCTCATACCTGTAATCCTAGCTACTCAGGAGGCAGAGAGCAGGAGGGTCGCAGTTCGAAGCCAGCCCTGGGCAATTAATGCCACGAGATCCTATCTCGAAAATACCTAAGACAAAAAAGGGCTTCTGGAGTGGCTCAAGATATAGGCCCTAAGTTCAAACCCCAGTACCACAAAAAAAAATAAAACTGGTATGGGAATGGGCTGGGGGCATGGCTCAAATGGTAAAATGTCTGCCTAGCAAATATGAGGCCCTGAGTTCAAACTCCAGTACAAAATAAAGTATGTGGGACTCTTAATAGGGTAGTAAAGAGGAACTCTTTCTCTAGCATTCTTCACTGTTTTAAACACTGAACACTAGGTCTAAGAGCTTATGGAAGTTTCATCTTTGACTTTTCTTACTTGTAGGTTGAGGGATATGTTCTTAGTTTTTTAAATAACCAAACAAACAGTAATTGATTAAAAAAAAAAATCCTAAGTACCACATGGTTTCAACTGCTTTGACCCTGGATACATATCAGTTATATCTACTTATCTTTATTTCACACTATCATAATTAATAACTAAAAGTCACCATAGTAGTTCTTTAGGATTCTATAGTTTGTGCCAAGGGAAAGCTTAGATTTTTTTACAAGAGTAACTTGTATGCCATAAGGTCAACTATTAAGTATTTACTAGGTACCTACTCTATACACAATTTACTATGCATTAAAATAAATGTAACTAATATTTAACACATTATAGTCACCACCTCCAAGGAAGCTATAATCTAGTTAGAGACAATAAAAATATATATTATTAAATAACTGAAAAACTACAAGGCAAAATTAACAAATGTACAATAGTATGATATAAACTAAATGTTAAGGAAATACTAGGGGCATGGCTCAATTGGCAGAGTGCCTGCCTAGCAATAGCAAGGTCCTGAGCTCAAATCCCAAACTGCCTAAAAAAAAAAAAAGCTGAGGAAATTATAGGTTAAAAATTACAGAAGGGTAAGGATAATAAGATTTATTTATTTATTTTTGAGACAGAGTCTTGCTATGTAGCTCAGGTTGTCCTAGAACTTATGATCCTCCTGCCTCAGCCTCCTGAGTGGCTGGGATTAGAGGTAAGAACCACCATGCCCATCCCATTTGCTTTAAGTTTAACCAGGATTTGAAGTCTTTGTTGTACAAAAGGAAGCCAATCCTCAGTGGGGAATAAAAAGTATAAGTAAATCAAACCAAAACCAAACAGCGCATGCCAAACTCTTCTAACCAGAAAGACTTCATTGAAAAAATTTTTTAAGGTTTAATAAGATAATCATCACCACCAATTATCACTAATTAAAACATAAGACAGCAGTGTTTTTAATGGAGGACAGCATTTCTCAACTGAAATTCCCTTCATGTTTTAAAGTAATGATTCTCAAATTTATTGTACATAGAAATCACCTAAGGGCCTCATTAAAATACAGATTTCAATTCAATAAAACAGGTGGAGAGTGAAGGATTACTGCATTTTACCAACTCTCAAATGATACCAATGTTGGTGGTCCTCAGATCATACTTTGAGTAGCAAGGCTTTTAAGTAGGTACATACATACACTGGCCTAACTCACTGGAAAAAAAAAGCGAACCTTAAAATGGGGTAGGTGGCAAAAAGTGAGAAAGTTGAAAGTCTGATGAGTTTCTAAGGTTTTCATAACTAAGCACAGTAAGTTTCCTATCAACAATGAAGAACACACCCTTAACACCACCCATTCATTTCTGCCATCATGTCTCAGAAAAGCAGAGCTGGCCAGCTAGCCAGCTAGAAACTAAATCTATATTAAAACTAAAACCTGCCACACCGAGATCCTCATAAATATGAACCATTACTCATTCCTCCTGCATCTTTTCTTCAGCCTTCTATTTCTTTTTCCAGCCAGTGTTTCTCAAGTGTTGTGTGGGGATTAATTGCAGTATCTGGCAATTTATTAGTTGGTCTATAGACAATTGGAGGAAAAAGTGACGCTTTTGATTGTGAACATTTCACAAATTTGAAAACACTAGTTTTCAAAGAAATTATTTTAGGCTCTTAATGGCTGTTTCATTTCAAGGGTCAACAAAGGCTTAATAAGGATATTTTAAAAAGGACTATTTCAATCAATAAATCAATAGCTCAAAATGTTCATCAAAAGGGAGAAATGAAAATTACATTTAACTCACAATGTCATAAATGATTAACAGTATAATCTTTGAATGAAGACTGTGATCTTGGAATGGGCTGTGAGTAGTGAATTAAGAGTTATTAGTCCATACTAGTGACACCATTGCTTCCATTATATTTTACTACATTATATTACATATACATTACATATACAAATAGGGACAAGAAACCATTGAAGTGTTTACATCATTTCCAACCAGTCCAGTAAATCAGACAGTCTCCATTATAAATTATCATTAAGAGCAAGGATCAAAATAACAGTCAAAGGCACTTCAGCTTCTTTTAACTGAAGAATTAAGTACTGTCAGTGGCAAAAATCAATGACCAATATGCTCAGAGAAACAAAACAATCTACTGGCAAAATTCAACCAGACAATACAACTGGACACTATATATATGTTATATAGCAAGAAAGAACAACTACATACAGATGTATGCTCTTAAGTATTTGTTTTATGGCTGCTTGAAACAACTAGTGTACAGAGTATTAATCAACCTTTAGCATACCCGTGGATAATATGCAAATAAAGAAAATAGGCGACTTTTTATTCAGATCATCAATGGAAGAACCATGCAGTCAAGAAGGGATTTTCTTTGAACCAACAACTATTTTTGAACCTTGACCTGCAAAGGTATACTGGGATTGGTATGGCCAGAACGCTACCTATGCAGCAAGGAAGCAGCATACTCTCTAAAACGAAATTCACACATGGTTTCCTCTTGAGACAGTGGTAAGGACTGCATAGGAAATTCTCAATATAATTCAAAATGCAGCCCTAGAGCAGGTATCTTCAGCATATTATGCCAGGAAAGAAGTAAAAAGTATGGGTTTATCTAATTTAGTACAAGTAAAAATAAACACAAAACAGTTAAGTATAAAACCTTAACTTTGACTTTGCAAACCAGACACCAATGTGGTGAAAGACTGCAGCAATATTTGCTTTGCCTTTTGGGCAGTACTGGGGTTTAAACTCAGGGCCTCACACTTGCTAGGCAGATGCTCTACCACTTGAGCCATTCCAACAGCCCTGCTTTTTCTAATGCTTAAATTATTTTAAAACATTGTTTTAATCTTATGATGAAAATATTTTAGGTTATCCTAAAATCAGCGGGGGTATGGCTTCAAAGGTAGAGCACTTGCTTAGCATGCTTGAGGCCTTGGTTTCAATCCCCAAGCTGGGATGAGTGGTGTGCATGAAGACCCGTCATGTGGTACACAAATTCCAAATATTTGAGGATACCACTTTCTCCACTATACCTTTCATATGAAGCAATCATTTCTTCCTATGCATTATGCTAGAGAAAAACCAATTACAAAAATTGTGTTTGCCTTATTATCTTCTTGCATTAGAAAAACACTTCATTATTGCCATTTATATACCATTAAAAAAAATGGGTCTGGTATCAGTATGTACAGCACCTACAAAAACAATATATAATAATTTCTCCTTTTTTTTAAATGAATTCCATGCCCCTTCAAAGTTATTATTTCCTTTGCTGTCCAAGAACCCAAACTGCCTTCCTATACCTTTGTTATAGCCAAGGGTGATATAACAACTAGCATGATGTGAACATCAAAGAGAATACACCAGCTCAGAAACGTATGCTGCAATGGAATAGGTTCACTAAATATTAGCCTTACACAGCTTCTTCAAGTGGGTGTACTTTTTCCACCCTAGCCCCATTCTTAAAGTCCCTTGGGTATTCCTTGCCTGCCAATTCCCAGAAAAGGGCCTAACAGTTTTCAGGAAAGACAACCATATAAATTGGACTCCAAAGATGAACTTAACTTTTAATGTCCCTACAAAAGTAGGACATTCTTCCTTAGCAGAAGAATTAAAAAGAAGTATTAGAAAGACCACATACTGAAATGGCCTGAACAATATATACACATATGAATAAATAAACCAAAGAAACAAAAAACAAAAACAAAAACAAAAAGAAAGACCACATACTGCCTCCTTTCTTCTACACCATCTCCAGAGAAAGAGACTTTTTAAGTCTGCTTTTTTATTATATATAGCTTTGTTCTTTGATTATGTCCACATAGGTATGCAAGTCCTTTCTTTTTTCAACCAAATGAAAACAGTTAATATAAAGACAAATGGACAGATCTGGGCATATATTAAGGATATTATAAATTGCTGGAAAGGAATACAGAAATCACAAAAGGCAAAGAGATGGGTCATTGAAAAATAAATTTGAAATCAGAGTTATGTATGGTGACATTAAACACATCTGCGTTGTTTTTAAAGCTTCTTACCCAACTTTGGAAAAACTATCAAGTATTCAGCATTGCACTGAGGACACGCCACTCGGGCTGTACTGTTTCCTCTTTGTTTTTCATCCACCCAGCGCTGCAGACAAGCTTGGTGAACCCATTTGGTAGATCCTCTGCACCTGCATGGTCTCACCCACTCAGCTGTTCTATCATCTTCATCAGTGGCAAAACACACCCAGCAACTTCTGTAAAATAGAGAAAAATGACATTTTAGATCCAGCTTAA